CAGGTAGAGGCCTTGCGACGAGCTGATCACCCGCCCAAGGAGTCCTACCGAATGTGTAAGATCTAGAAAAACCGAAGTGAACGGAGAAGTTCATGGAGGTAGGCCTAGGCCGAAATTGGGACTGTAGCGCCACAGGAAGGAAAAGGAAATTATGATTAACTATTCTACAGTGTAAAATGTAAATATATAATTAGATTTGTCAATTGTTGTGGAACTCCATATCAGTACGGAAAATGTTTATGTTCGTATCAGTTGTTTTACCGATATATATATATTTCCCCCCTTGGCACTACAGCCCCAGTGGACCTAGGCCTACCTCCATGAACTTCTCCGTTCACTTCGGTTTTTCTAGATCTTACACATTCTGTAGGACTCCTTGGGCGGGTGATCAGCTCGTCGCAAGGCCTCTACCTGGACACAGACACAGAAAAACGCGCACACACAAACTAAACATCCATGCCCTGAGTGGGATTCGAACCCACGATCCCGGTTTCCAAGCGAGCGAACACAGTACATGCCTTAGACATCTCGGCTACCGTGACCGCCTTACCGATATATAGCTTCTTAAATTACCAAGGTAATTAAATTCAGACGTAAGGCTTGATCTGTATGACAAGTTATTGCACTCAGATGTATCTAATGCTACTTCTACATTATTCTGATGATTTCTAAAATACGATAATATTTTTAATAATATTACATAACTGCCTAGTATATTTGTTTCTTCCTAATAACGAAGCGAAACTTGCGACAACGACACAAGCTGATTCAGGCTTCTGTCTTGTATTTGGGAAGTAGCCAGTTCGAATCTTGTCCCGAATACTGACTAGCCTGAGTGAGGTTTATTTTTATCGTTTTCTTCAGTACCTTCCGACAAGTGCCGGTACAGTACATTAAAGTAGGCCACAACCGCTTCTATTTGCATCATTTCCAGTTCATTATTCACCGTCATGAGATCATTCGAGGCCATGTCTGATTTACTGACTGCGACGTGAAGTAAATGAACAAGTAGAATGGAACATCTGTAAAATCTGGATGTAGTTGAAATTTCGGGATTTGAATAGTCAAAACAAAAACAACTCAGTGGTTTCAGTCCGCAAGCGAACTATACCGACCGAGCGACCGCCGCTTGTCGGCGAAGTGAGTACCAACTTTCGCGGATAGAGAGTGTCACGTGGTCAGCGCAACGAATCCCCACGGCCGTTAATTTCGTTTTCTAGACAGGAGGAATTATTTCCTTGAAATAGCTCCTCAGTTATCATCGCGCAGCTGAGTGGACCCCGTTCCAGACCCACTGCTTCTCAGAAAATCTGGTAGCGCCGGGAATCGAACCAGGACCTCTGAATAGGTAGCTAGGAACTCTGAACACTAGACCACAGAGGCCTTGTGAGTAGTCTGCTTTGAAAAAAGTAAGAACAGTTTTATGCTGCTGAGAAATTGATGACTTGTATTGATTGCTGAATATCTGTATCGAATTATTTTTCCCATATAGCCCACTTATATCGATTTATCAATATTAGCTGGCCTTCCAAGATGTGAGTCGCACGAAATTCGTTTTGTCGTCTTTTATACTGATGCGGTGTATCTGTTGTTTTATGGGTGCTTGTAGCTACTGTCAGCGTGGGGCCGCAATCTTCTAGGGATGGGAGTTGTTTGTCATTCCAGAAATACACTTTACGAGACTATGAAGACATGGTGTTGAAGTTAGAATGTTCTCCGTGCCTTGTTCTTTCCATTTATATTGATGTTTTAACTGTTGAACATATTTAGCGACACGTGAGACTAAATATTGGTTTGTTCATGGCATCGTCCTGATGTTTGTCTGGGTGGATTAAGAAAAATTATGAAATGTTCAAAATACACGATTAAGGAGCTTTCCAAAGTAGAAACTGTTCACCACATAATTTAATTTTATTGATGTCATTTAGTTCCGGAGGAATCAGCGGAAATGTTCTTCCGTTTTGAGATATTGTACTGATATTTCCTTGGAGATACTGAAGAAACCCTGGGTATAAAATTTAAGAGGATTTGATCGGAAGAGGATTAGAACTTGACTTCAGAATAGCACCCTGTGCATATGAGACAGCTACACGGTCAAATAAAGATAATCAGGGTGACAGGTATTTGTTTTGCTACTGGAAGAACATTTAAATCTACAGTTGAAAGTATCCAGTAACTGGATTGGTTCTGTCATCTCTCAGAGATTCGTTGTAACGTAATGATCAGGGTCCGAATTTTGGTGACATGTCATCTTTTTTTTTCCTTGTACCCTATGCGATGCTCTTAAATATACAAATCTCGGATATGAGCTTCTGGTTACACAAATGTAAATTTTATAGGTAATTTTCTGACATTTTTAGGTTTAAGGTCATTTTTTCATTTTGGGGGTAATTTTTTGGTAAATTTTTGGACTTTTAAGGGTATTTATTGTCATTTTTGGCCATTTTAGGGAAATTTTCTTCATATGTTTTCTGATATGTGAATAATATGGAAGCGAAGTGTTTTTTTTTTCTTTTCTCCTTTAGGTCATTTTTCTTGATTCTTCGGTCATTTTATAGGTCATTTTTTAAATATTTTCAGTTCATCAAAATCCGAGCCCTGGTCATGATAGCAGCCAATGACAGTGCCACAGTGCGGACAGGCAAGGCTAAACGACTGTGCCTTGTTCGAAAAGCCTACTATATCTTGAGCCAATTTGTTCTGACGCTGATTAACTCGGTTATTGGTTGATTTGAAGTGATAGAATTGAAGTGGTTGTTCGTGACTTCCAACGTAGGCTGTTATACAGCGAGTTTTCTGGACAGTGCAACCGTGAAGCGAGCTTGATGGAACGAGCGACCGGTTCGGCTGCCTGAGTGCGCGCTTGCAAAGGAGAACTCGCTCAGTTCAGACCGGTACACCGCTTTTCCGTGAGAATCCCTAGACTTATTCAGCTGTTCTTATGAAATGAAAAGTGTTGGACTCATCGGTAGGCATTTGTCTCTTTCATGTCCCCATTCGGCCCAGTTCATGGTTTCACAACATGAATCCGTGAGCCGACCTGCTCTAGGAGCTGAACGGCCTGGATTTGATTCCCGGCGGGTGTAAGAGATTTTTCTCTTCTCCACAGTGTCCAGACCGGCTCTGGAGTCCACCAGCCTTCTGACCCAAAGATAACGGGGGCTCTTTCCCCAAGGGTCAAGTGGTCTGCGCACGAAGCTGACCATTCACCTCCATCTGTTGCCAAGGTGAAGAATAGTGGAGTCATACTTCCATTCCCCATACATCTTCATGTCGTGATGCATGATCACTTAAGCACAGGGACAGCTTTTACCTTTTAATCTTTATAGGTCTCCTCTAAGACTCAGTTGAGTGTCGTCCATGAAGTTTTGCAGTCAAAATGTTTTAGGCTGTAGGCCTACATCTACTTATTTTTGCTGTGAAGAGTAGCTACGAATTTGTCGATCAAGCAGGCAGCAAAGGTTGTCCTCTCGGACACGTGATGGATTCTTTGGTACAACATAAAGAAAGGCGAGAGGCCATAATACAATGGAAAAGTGGACGGTAGCAGGAGGTTCCAACTATGGGAGAGATTTTAGTAGCTGACTTCTGTGAGCAGAATATTGAGCCACAAGGTTGCCGTGATAGTGGGAAGCGTCACAAGACCCCTCGTTATTCAGTTAGGTCATCTTAACTACTTAAATATGTGGTTTTGAGTTTGTCAGTGAAATATTCTTCAGAGTCTTGTGTTAGAAATAAAAAAGTAAAGTTGTCCCTCTGCAGAACATAAAATTGTTCTTCAGCCAGGATGTTGTACAGGAAATGGTGCATTTTAGTTGACAGAAGTTGCGGGATTGTCATATCTCACAGGGGCCCTCCCACGAGGCACCCTAAGCTGTGTGCCTGTGCTGTTGGCGTGGGGTGACGTAAGTA